TCAGTCCCGATAATTGCTATCACATTTGTCAAGCTTTAGATTTGTCGACGTCATGGTATCTTCCCTTAGGGATGTGAGCGGTCAAAGTGAGATATGAATTCTATTCACCTACTTTTTTATTCCTTAATATTCTGTTATGATTATTATTCACTAAAGTTCTTAATGGAACACAGAGTTTCAACAGCACCTCTCCACTTCATGCTTTTCTTTGCAGTCCTCTTTATTTTGTTTCACAACTAACCAATAACTTTCAACTGTTCCTTATACCACCTCCTCAATATCATCTTCAGATATCCGTGTCATTATTTCCTATTCAGATTTCACTCGAGGACATGGCGTGAGATGTCAGTGTGTGTTCAGCAAATCTTCCTGTTTTCTTTGGTATATCTATTGGGCAACAGGTTCTTGGTTTGTTCATTCCCAGAGTTATCTATCGCTTACTCTTTCTGTTCGCATCATCTGCTATTCAGTTTACAGCCGGTGAAGGTGGTTGTTAGTAAAAGTCTTCATCCAATTCGTAACGCCTGTGACAAATCTCTGAATCATATGGAGACACTGACTGACTTGAAATTAGTGTTGAAAATCCCAATCGCTTACTCTATGCGGATTGCATCGTTATTCAAGACTGATTTCGTAATAATGAAGATCAGTCTTGTGTTTCTGACCATAACTCGTTTTGGTGACTTCATTTATGCTGTTGCTCGTCGTTGAAACGATGGTACTCGTATGCGTGAGGAGGGTGATCTCTTTCACATTTCCCCATTTGATAGTGACTGGTGCTCGTTGTTTTGAATTCGGTATCTTCATCACCTCTGTGTTCTCTATCTTCACTCGACGTTCCGTCCTCCCTGCCAGCCACATATAACAACATGTTGATCTTTATCATATACATCTTCCAGCTCGTGCGTCATTTAACATAAATCGTTCACAAAGTTCGAATATTTTAGAGATTTCCAGTCGACTCAATAAATACCAGTCGTCTCGCCCCCCACCACAATTTGAAGTCTCATTGATATTCGAGTGTCAATAATGTAAAATTCAGTCATTTTCTTGTCCCTGTAGTTAAGCATGATGTGTAGACATCTTCTGTTGGTGAGACAGACTAAATATTTATGAAACAGTAGGTAACGCCAGTAACACAACGTGAGGTGATTCTGACAATATTTACGGTCAGAGAATGAATGATATGACAAGCAATCTGATAAATATATATATTATAGAGCTAATATCACCAAAACACATGAAAACAGAACTTGAGCGTGGAAGCCGAAGTTCATTTTAGTTTTTACGTCTTCAATAATATCGTCTATATTGTGCGTTTCAGTAATTCACTCAAATGACCTTGTTGTTACATTCAAGTGTAATTTCATTGGAATTCGATTGGTTTCAAGTTTGATCATTGATGGCAATCAGTTAGAAGAACCCTGAATACGAGGGAGTACCGAACTCTTCTTTCCTCTTACTTCGGGATTCTTCAGTGTTATGCACCCATGATCCCACTGGGGATCGAAGCTATGACTTTTGTACCACAACGCAGTACCATCCTAGAAGTTGAATGATGAATGAGTCCTCGTTGTAACCTGAATGTCCTGAGGTAGACTTCCAATGTGCTCATGGGTGCATTCTACTGAAGATTGTCAAGTGTGGACGACCACTTCTTGTGGAAGAAACAAGACAGAAAATTTTGTAGTTCCAGTTGACGAACATCATCTTTCGCATTTGAGAAAGTTGAAATTTCTGCTTTGTGCATTTAATGTTTTATCTTTTAGTGACAGCACTGTTAAACTCATCAATCGTCCATGGATTTCAGCTGTGGGATCGTTCAGCAAACAATTTTTATCCTTTGTCACTCCACAACTATTGGTATGTTTACTTACAAAAATATTGTGACTTTATCTGAAATATCACGTTAAATAAACGGGAATAACCTATGAAGATTAAGTATTGTAAATTGACACTAGATATCAGAATCATAGCTATTTAAAACACAGTCAAAATGGCATTAGCAAAATGAAAATCACTGAAACATCAAAACCTATGATCTGTAATTTTAAGAACTATATTTTCGAGCACTGTGATTGCATCTTATTCAGCATGTGATCGTAATATCAGCTGAGTAATCATCGAAATCCATTTAGCATTGGACAACCGACTGTTGCTCTCTACGGATTCTCCAAGCGATCGACCCCAATATCTTGGAGTTTGCCAGCTGACCATTTAACCAGTTGTCGATGAATACTAACTCTCCACCAAATCGTAGTATAGCGACACCAAAGGTCAATTTAATCGACGAATATTCCTCATCAAATCTGACTTATTGAAGCTCCTGTGATCACAGCTCATCACTTAAATTCCAATCAACTTCACTTTGTAATCAGCCGCATGTGATGACTCGATGAATTTTCCAGTGTTTTAATTTCTGGAGATTTCATCGGTTTCACAGTTTGATCATGAGCTGAAAACGTCTATTCTGTTTAGTGTAGAAGTTATCGACTAGCTTGATGTTTAGTAAGCTGTGAGTCCAGGCTAGACTAACGGATACAGAAAATCACATTAGAATCCGCATATATAGTAAATCTATTGCTGTAAGACAATCAGGTGTGTAATGCTATTGCATGGTAAAGACTACATTTATAACTGCTGTAATAAACATGACTGAGTAGTGCAATAATATGCACCTGTCGGTGGTTATGAACTGTGATTACCAACCTAGTATAAAGTATGTTGCGTAGAATCACACATTTTTTACACGTTTCCTTAATTCCCATTGGAACGTCTATACAGTTCAGAGGAATACGTCAACTTAATTCAGATCCAATAGAAAGTTTCATAAATATAGAGTGTTTCTCCAAAATGTCACCTACATATCCATTGATTCCTGTATTTTCAAAAATTTAACCTCATAAATCTAACACAGCTTATCTCTTTACAATACTGAAAGGCTTTATTTTATTTCATTTGACAAGGCTGAAGGACGTAAACACTATAACTGTCCTAATCTGGATGGGATTGATATAGAGAATGAAGGTGGTGAAGGAACCGTTGGCACACATTTTGAAAAACGCACAGTTGGTGTAAGTCAATAACCTGGAAACTTTTATTAACTTTGAAGATGTATTTGTCATTGTTGTTAAACAGTATTCAGCAATACGTCGTGTGATACCAGGCTCTTCCATCTGAAGCAATATCAAATCCTAAAAGATACTTTTCACCTCATTTCCTTTGAGTAGTGCTCTGAATTACGAGTAACACCTAAGTAAAATATGTGTGGGTCCATGTAGCGACTCGAGAACACTATTAGATAATTAGAACAATAAATTATGGAAGAGAGTTTTTGCATTATACTGAATACAAATTGAAGAAGCCGGGTGATTATAACACGTCACTTCTGGCGTAGAATCAAAGAGAACTGAGATCGAATTTTTGGATTAGAACAAAACGATAACGTGTTAGGATCCGTGAACGTTTTAGCAATTCTCAGTGCTCTTTAATACAATACAAATATACAAAATGCCTGAACACTATTTATTACAGGATGAAATTATGGCAGGTGTAACTGGCGTGAAGACAGTGGCATCACGATTGACACTGGCATTCTTTAAGGATTCTGGGTGAGTTAAAAGACGAAAAGCTTTTTGTTTGAGGGATCTGTGCAAGTAAATTCTTACGAAATATATACTATTTTGATTATGCTTCATGTAATTCTTACTGTAAAATTGTTTTAGCTCAGTGTGGGTGCCATACAGCTAGCAGAATGTGTTCTTAGTGGGTAAATTGATTCTAACCTCTTTAGGGATGAGTATTAAAATGACATACCGTTTTACTCATTTCATTTGGTCGATGATGGTTGGCAGTTTTATTCAAGTCTCAAGACTTGGCCTATTTGGGCCTGCTCATATAAATGTACCTGCATTAAAAGTGGGTGTTGGTTTTTGCAGTGATGCTTGAACCCAGAATTCATCGTTTCGACTATCTGAATATTATCCAGTAGGCCATTACTATGCACCAGGTAATAGTCGTTTTTTCCTGTAATAACACATTCAACCGTAATAGACGTGTCGAATACTTATTTACTGATAGATCCGCTAATTTGGGAAAAAATAATTCCAATAGTTAATTTGTAGTGTTCTCATTTGTTTCAAGTTTGGTCACGGATTGATGCTGAATAGAGGAGTGTTGAATACCAGTACGGAGTAATAAACAGCTGTTTCGTACTTGTTTGGGACTCTTTGTTAGTACGTGCCAATGCGTCCAGTGGATTCGAATCTAGGTCCTTCAGATTAAGAGAACACCTTGATGACAGTCCAACAACTTGGGTCAGAATACATTGGCTGATGAATTCTAACTTCTGTCTTTACGCGATTTCAACACGACAACTAGCCAATGTCATCGAAGCGTATTGGTTCTCGGACCCTATCTTCTGGAACCCACTGGACACAACTTGTCAAAAGAGTTTCATTTAGTGTATTAACATTGAACGAACACTATTCAACCCTATCCTACTTTACCTGACGTTATTACACTGGGCTAATTGTAAGTGAGCGAGGCATACTTCAATAAGAGTAATCAATGAGAGTAATAAACACAGTTACATAAAACACATTCGCGAAAGTTAGAAATTATCATAATAATGATAAATAAAGTAATACTCGAATGAAGTTTCCGTTTACAGAATTACGAATTGTCTTATTGGATGCTGATGGTTGTTTTTCTCTTTTCCAATAATAGTTGGTGGGACGTGGATTTCTCACTCGCTGAAAAATGGGACTATGGCAAAGGACTCGGCTGTAGCTTTGTAATGGAAAGCTGTTATGCGTATATCACCAGAATGAAGCAACAGTAAGTCATTCAATGCATGATCAGTGATTGTCATAGTGAATGTTTACAGACTATACTATTTGCTCGAATGGAAGTACACTCGCTTTGATTGCATAATCTTATATTAATTTACTCATTGGAAGATGAATTCAAATTGATATTGACATTTTGTGATATTTCAGGGGAAAGAGTATTGAACCGTATTGTGAAGAGAAGAGTGATTTGATGTGTTATCACAAAACCGCCTTTGGACTATGTTCTGTTGCTCAGTTTACTACAAGTTTACCTCCACCTGAGCAATATTTCAGAGGTATTCCTAATCAAGGCGGGAGTAGTACACTGGTGGACAGATGTCCAATGGTTCAGGTTAGTGCATTCAATGTCTAATCTTTAAATCTTATATCACGTATTCTTCAAATTACGTGTTTCAAATGGAAATTATACTGGTCAATAATATTTAGTAGCATATGTCGGAGTTCATCAACCTTATTCCTTAAAGAAGTAATTTGTTTTCTAGATGAAAATGGAAATTCTCTAAGTAGCTTATATTGGTTTCATTTCGAAATAATAATTCTCTTGAAACCATCAGACGTCTTTCTCCAAATTAATATATGATTAAAACTTGATCATGTAATTCGCCTATTAATTTGTTTGCTTGCATATAGAGAGGGGACCTCTGAAACCTTACACGGAATTCTTAATAAAGCAGAAATTCGCCTTCTTGATGTACAACTAACAAGATGAGCTGATGGAACTTTAAGAAGGTTATGGCATAGAAAACTGACTTGGAAAGGTCAACTAATAAGTTTCTTCAGTTTGGTACCTATTGTACGGAAACGAAATCTGACTAAATCCCTTGCTACTCGGATCTGTTGCATGTGCAGTGAGTCCTAGCGCCCTGGAAGAAAAATTGGATCTTCTGAAAGAAACCTTCATTCAAAATGGATAACTGTCAAGATTCATTGACAAGATTATCAAACCAAAGGTTCAAGGGGAGGAAGCATCACTTGTTTCAAAATAGATGCTTCACATGAATCTGGATTTCAAGTAGGACTTAGCTTGCGATATCCTCCCTGAAGTGAGGAATTTCAGCATTCTCGAAAAGAACAAGCTTTGCACAACGGACGCTAAGAGAAGTGTTCTACAGTCGTCCATTGATCTGCAGAAGCCTAAAGAACAAGATTTCACATCTTGCCCTCTTACACAACAGAATAGAAAATCAAGACTTATTTATAAAATTAACTGGTGGTATGTGCAATACGCATGACTCACCGTTTGTCCCCAACGTCTGATAAATTCAACCACCTTTTCGACGATTGGGAGGTGAGAAATAAAACCATAAATATCAAATCACAAATTTGTTCAGTTACAGTTGATATGATTACGAACAATGAACGAACAATGTTCGAAACTTCCTGATTCACTAAGTAATAATTTCTTACGAAAATAGTAGAATAATCGTTTGATAGACTGATTGAACAAACGCACTTCGCACTTCCTTTCCTTGGTTTGAAGCAGATAGGTAGTAGCATTTTGAGAAATATTATGAGAAGAGTTATGCATTGCAAATATTCATATTTCGATGTCTTTTCGTTCATTTATTGACTTACCTTATGG